AAAGCTGGAATTTAATAATGTATTGTTATAAAAACTGCTTCTTATTATCTACTTTAAATCTGCTGCCTAGTAATTTAATTGGGTGCCCCTTATTCTGGCTTTCTGAGAAAGACAGAATGATTAATCATTCTCTATTCAGCTTTTCTTTGTCATTCATGACTATATAAAACTCAGTTACTTCTCTTCCCAGCTGACAAGCCCTAATTTATATAGCCTTGCTCCCACAGAAGTCAGGCTGAACCTCCCATTGTTTCCTGTCTCCACAATGAAAACTGAATTTTCTGACCCATTGTTTTCTTTCTATTCTTGTTCCATGTTTTCTTATGTCATGATAGCTCTGGAAAAGACTGTGAAAAAAATCTTGTAAATCCAGGTGTGCTCAAGTTGAAGAAATTGGCTTAACTGAAAGCATATTGGCTTCTTCAGAAACACTCATATATTCATGAGCATGCTCTGATTTAAAAAATCTGTGTAGATTCTCTTCCAATATATCATACATATCCAGATGCCCCTGTGTGCTGTTATTTATTACAAGTTGTACAAATTGGCTTGATAAAAAAATCAGACTAACTGAAATGTAGTTCCCCAGACCAGTTTTTGTATATTTTTCAAGTCTGATATCCCAGCTGATGCTTCCAATTTGTTGGACACCAAGCCTGCTTTGAATGGTAGGGTAAATGTTTGTGAGAAATGCAATGATGTCCCACTTGGGCTTCATAGAGGTTTTGCATAGATACTATCTAGACCTAGCAATTTGTTATTGTTAAATGTATACATTTGCTTTGCAATATTTGAGCGTTTAAACATTTTCTTGGAGTTACAGCATGAATTCTTCATTCTCAACATCTCTTGCAAGCATTTTGACTTCCTAGCTGTTGCTAATTTCATGCTAATTGACTTTCTCTTTTTTATACTGTTTCCTTTTCTGAACTAGCACGATTCCTTATGGCTTTTTCCTTATTTAATTAATATTAATCTGAAGTACATTGTATTCAGTATCAGAATGGAATTACTACAGAATCAAATCCAAAATTGCATCATTTTGGTGAGCCCAAACTGCTCCAGAAAATCAGTGGTTTTGGTATTGAAAGGTACTGTCTGTGCATTAAGTTTAGGGTCTGCTAGTTTTTAAATCCATCTAGACAGAATTCTACATGATTGCTTTAATTCAATGGATTGTTATTTTACTTTAACTAATCAGTTCCGTATCAAATCACTCTGACTTTCAAATGCTTTAGACCATCCGTTCCCTTACCTCACTTCCCGTCCTCTCCCCTTTCCTCCCCTCCTTTTTAAACAGTCCTGATGGTCTCTGCATTAAAAGGCAGAGAGCAGAATTCTCAAAGCATGTGCCCTCCTCTGACTGGGTATCTGGGATCTCTCACTGGAGTGGAAGAGACAGAAAAAATACTGCTCACTCCTAGCTTTCCTTCTTCAGCTTTCCACAGATGTCATTCATGTAAAAATTGGTGTGCTTGCTCCCATTGAGAATTTTACTGTGAGAAAACTGCTGCTTTGCTACAAAAGGCTTTACTGTTCCTTTTATGTATGTTACTTTGGTAAATGGGTATAATCAATGTTCAGTTTTAAAAACAGATAAAACTAGTATTCAAATACATTATCAGTCGTATACTTCCCTAATGTTTTTTAAATATTTGTCTGTTTGAAATTAGAATGCTATGAATACAGTATTCCGTATATATACAGAATCCATATATATATGGACTCTCATTCTTTATTCCAAGATTTGAACTACTTACAGGGATAATATAATTCAAAGTTCCATGGGTAGAAATTCCCTCGAGGAACCAGAAAATATGAAGACAGACTAATGTTTTCTGGAATATTCATCTTACAGTCGAGTTTGACTATTAATTTCAATGGCACCATTTTTTACAGCGACACTTGTACATTTAAAATTCCTTAATTTGCTTATTTTCATACTGCTTTCATCTTTTTCTGAATATTGTCTCACTTTTCTGCTTCTTTTAGTATTTGAACATTTGGAAAAAATAGCTTGGATGCCAGAAAAAGTTTACCTTTTTATTCCAGAAATTATGTCATTTTTTTTTCCTGAGTAGGTAGTTTTAAAATGTTGGCTGCCCATTATTTTGACTGCAATAGCTGTCTAAGTTCCCTAAACAGATGTCTGATGATTGCACAGCAATGCCAAGACTCAGACAAGTGCTTTTGGCATGATTATATTCAGATATTGATTCTAACAGGACAAAACCAGTCAGTTTTAAGTCTTGGCACAGGCTACAAGACTGTAGCTGTCAATTTATAACTGACACAGTTATAAAAACCCCAGGAAAAATAGTACATTTCCAAGCAGCTTGCTTGGCAAGGGAGGTGAAATCTAAATTTTTCTTGGGTCACTTACACAGGTGCAGCAGTACCACCCAGAGGCCACTGCCGTGCTGGGCACTGCTCAAGCAGAAGATTGTTCCTGTCCAAAAGAGCTCACAGACTGGAAAGACAAAGATACTAAGGCTTAAAAGAGCTTGTCATATGAAGACATTCCTGGTACTCTCGAATTAAACCTCCCAGAATTCCACCTATCCTACTCCAGCCAAATCTGAGTGACAACTCCTCTAATGTTGCTAGAAAGGAACAAGGCATTAACAGAAATTAACAGAAACTCTGTTTTCACACTGCTTTTAGTTACTAATTAGACCACTCAGATGAGATGGTGAAATTCCAGGATTTGGTCTTTGCTCCCAGGACTATATGTTTTCTGTTCAGCAGTCATTCCTGAGGCATTAATAGGCATATAGGGAATGTGCAGGCATTGTGGCTATCCTGTGGAATAAGGGCCATAAGGATCCACCCTGCACAGGTCAGGGTCCAAAAACATTAATGGAAGCATCTTTTTCATTCCTCACAGCAGCCTGTTCCACTAGGTTATGCAATTTAGTTAGGTACATTGAGGGACAAATTGAACTTGGCACTCCCACTTTCTGGGCCAAGTTCACTGTTCAGATGGAGAACACCATCTCCATGGTTTTAAAAGCTGGTAGTTACCAAGTTTTTGAGGAGGGTCTGATTTTAGCAGGGTGTGGCAAATGCATTTTGAAAATGTCTACAGATTCTTCTCCCTGAAATGCAAGAAATGTTGGTAAGTCCTAGTTTTACTGATGCCAGAGATTAGAACTGAGTTGTTCAGACCAGGCAAAGCAGAAAACGGGAGAGGAGGTCTTTGAAGTCAAAGAAGGAAACACCTCATCAGTTCAACTCAGTTGTTTTTCTATTAAGCAGCTAAACAGAGCTATTTTGGTCAACAATTTCAGACTTTGGCACATGACCCACCTACGTATTAAGTCTCTGTATCGAATGAAGGATATTTCTGCTGTTATGCTGCTGTGAAGAAGAACAAGGTGTTTTGGTTAAGCAAAAGGAAGAAAAGAAGGCAACATCTCTCTCTCTCATAGTCTGACATCAACTAAACTGGAAGCTAAAACCATGTCCCAGTGTAACAGAGTAGTTACAGTGAGCAATATGCAAGTATGATTAGAAAGCAAAACCAAGGAAGAAAGTGGATACTTTTCCCTGTAAACAACAGGATTGTGTTAAACTACCAAGGCAGGCAAGCAGAGTAGCGGAGTTCTGACCTTGTATGTTCTGAGTAAATAAACTGAACACGTTAAGCTATTCCAACACTATATTCATCCCTATGTGGAGGAGAAAGGGATAGAGGTGACCTACTGAATAAATGCAAGGCCCCTTTGATGTTGTCTAGTTTTTTACAAGCCTAGCTAAGGAGGCTCTATGAAGTAATGGAAAGCATGTTTTGTCAAACTCAGAGGGATTTTTATTTCAAGAGGAAGAGGATGAGAGGACAGTGTTACAGATGTTTGTCACCTTGTGTCGAGCACTGCTACTAAGGGATGCACAGGCTGAGCATTCTGCAAGAACCTACGCAGGATACAATAGAATATATCAACACAGCAAAACTGTTCTTATGACATTCCTTGTTCTTGTAAATATCAGTAGCTTTGAAGCAATCTACACATTTAAATACATCAATATGCATTATATGCATTATTTCGCTCCTTTCCTCTTATTGCTTGATTCCCCCACCTTAGAGCTATGCCCCCGGCTTTGTAAAATAAAGTATCCATTACACACTGAAAAAATGAGCCTGATGAATCAAAAAACCCCACATAATTTAGTACTTCTCTCAATATAGCTTTTCAGTCTAATTTGAGGCATTGAAGATAACACGTTCATTAAAACATCTGCCAGCAAACTGTTCATTTGGATTGTTTCATGGAAGCACTAGTCAAAGGGAAATGAAACACCACATGCTAATGATATGCAAAACGGACAAAAAACATTTAAGTTTTGATACACTGATATTGAGATGTTAATATGATTTTTCTTAATGAGTACTGCTATGCCAGCTTTTATGTGGTAAATCATAAACCCGGTGTTTCTTTTCAGGAAACTTATACAACATATAATAAAAAATAACAAAAAACCCCACATGACAAAATTGCCAGGGCTGTTCAGCAAGGATGACTTAATGAGTACAGAATTATTATTTATTGTTTCTTATTGCTACTTCTCTGTCATAAGCATTTAGGTAGCAGATATTTTGATCCAGAGCTTGCTCCTGGTCTCTAGTGGACTGAAATAAAATCTCTCATCCCCTCAAACACTAGGAAGTCTTAGATTCAGTTGTGCTGGCCCAAATGAACATCTAATATCTTCCACTGTAACCAGGCTTTAGCAATAACTGTTGGTCTCCAAACAGGACCAAATGTGTGACATTAAAATTCTGCCACTACTTTTCTTACCCGGTGGTGCAAGTCTCATTTTTTTCCTGGTGAAGCACAGAGTAACAATAAGTATAATTTAACTAGGATATGTCATCAGCAAGAGACACACACCAGCAGAAAATTTCTATAGTAACAGGTTTATTAGAGCTACTGCCATTAATTCATAAGAAATTTTCATAAAATTAACAAAACAAAATATCTACTGTTTCATGGCTCCTTTGCATGTCAGTCTGAAGATCCTTTAAGCCAGACAAGACAGATTACATCGTTATTCAACTGCAGGCCCAATGGTTTAAATTACACAGACATCCATCCATGCCTCCTGTCTCCACTATGAAATGTGCAGTCAAGGTGAGAGAGTTTGACTGGGACAGCTATTCACCAGTCTAATATTTATCTATGGCTTTGACACTTCTCATGCTTCTGAGCTCTTGCTCAGGTCCAGCAGCCTCCAAACCCTTTAACTCTGTCATGGCCATATACAAGAAGTCCTTTTAAGCTGAGGTGTAAGGAAGAAAAAAACTGTTCTGAATAACCATAATCTAAAACACCTCGTGGCAAACACTAGTAGTCAACACCTTGTATGTCCAGTAAACTACTCAACTATTGATTATTTTAGTCAACATATTATAACAAAGCATAAATTCTTCTTTCAATTTCTATACTTTTATACACATACACTGTCCAAAAGGAAAAAAAATGCTTTCACTGTAGTGAAAGGAGTTTATCTGGCCTAATGTAGATATCTAGAAATCTGAACTGTTCATTCCAGGTTCTTTGCAAACCATGGAAAGTAAGACATATATTCAAATCATGGTTAACACCACAGTAAAATAGACATTTGTAATCTGACCAATTGAATTGCTTCCTGAAAATGTTTGCTTCTCTATGTAAGACAGAATAGATCAAGTAACTGAGAAATAGATGTCTACACTGTATATAAATTTAGGCAAGATAAATCCATTCAAGTTGTTTAGGTAGTTTAATAAAGTAGGAAAGATAAATACAACAACATAATATCATGCAAAGTATGTATTTCATTATTTCATGGCAACTATTAAGTGTGCACCTCTTAAAAAAATGGTAATACAATAGTTACCAGAATTATAAACATGGAGTGGAATACTTCTACTTAAACCCCTCTAACTATTTTTGTCTAGAATCCTTCAGCAGTAATAGAGATGCATTTGCCAAAGATGATTTGTTCTGTCTCAAAATTACCATTTAAGTTACTTGGGAAGAACCTTCCTCTGGAGAACGGTGTCTCTCCTCAAAGGCACAGCATGAACACCCTTCCCTCTGTATGAAAACAGTAGTTTAAACCAAATAGTTGACCTCTAAATGGCTAATCTTTGATGAGATGAATCCCATTCATGCTATATTAAGCTAAAAGATCTTTATATTGGAGATGCATTTTCACAAAAGAGAATACAACCCCTTCATAACAAGTGTGTACGTATGTTCTGACATTCAGAAAATTTCAATAAATTATCATTGGTTTTACATAGACTTTAGCAGTTTCACAGATCTGATGAATATACTGATGAAGATCTTGGTTTGCTTCCTGCAATGTAGGTATGAAAGGGCATCTAAATTCCCAATAAATTAATTCCTTTGGTAACCATGCAGTAGGACTTCATTTAGGAAATTTGTTCCTCACAATACAAATGAATTATTTTCCACAGTGCTTTGAATTAACAGGCCAATACACTTAATTAAACAATAGTGGAACTTCTTTGTCATGCTTTCTGTATGTCAGAATTAGTAGATCCATTTTTCTGCAAGAGAGAAAATAGTGGTCAGAAATGCCAAGCAAAGAAGTATATTCTAATTTTTTTTTCTTTTTTTAGAATATCTACTGAAGTCTGATTGTCATATCTTGTAGTTCGATTAAATGGAACATGTCAATTTATAATGCTTAATATACAGAATCTTGGTATGTCTTTTTACTGTTTTGTAACTATTACAATTCTTACTAATTTTCTAATCTGATTAATTGCAAAATTCACTCTTCCTGTCAAATTTTGCAATGGCATAACACAAAGTATTTTAATCAAACAAATTTTTAATATAATTTTTGTTAACATGATCTTATCTAAGATAATCAGCTTATCAGAGCATTTCTTCTCCATGTCCATTTGTCTTAAGTTGGTACAGAGGTACTAGGTACTGATTTATATGAAATAAAAATGCTGTGAAGAGACAAGGTTTAAAATCTATCAACTTCTAGAAAACTTAATAGAACAAAATGTTCATTTGTCACTGCCTTGCACATTTGTTTACTCACTATGCTCCTCACAAAGGTAAGAATGGTAATCACAGTAAAATATTTTCATTATGACTTAATAGATTTTGTATCTTCTTTCTCATGGTCACAATAGCTCCTCTAGGTGAAAGTACGTCTGGCCCCTGGCTTAATCATTTCAGTAGAGCAACCTGATTCTCAGATGACCTTGCAATTTATTCTTCTCACTTCCAGGGCAAGATGCCATTGCCTCACTCTAAGTGTCTTCACTGACTGCACAGGTAGGACTCTACAGGTTACAGTGAGACTTGATATCTCCCTCACAGAATAATTGTGTCTAGACCAGGGGATTGGATATCATCCTAAACTTACTGAATTAGATACTTTGAAAAGGTTTAAGTGCGCAGAAGTGAACAAAAACAACTGCTGTGTTGTACGTTCAAGTTGTTTGAATGAAGTTCTCTAAATTGTTTTGTTTATGTTCAGTGCCATCTTATACCTTACCTTTAACTTTGGAATAGCAAGGCTCACAATGCACAGTTTGTCTGTAAATCCAAATGCTGTCTCCTGCTTTTAAATCTTCCAGGGGTCTCTTACATACTTCACACTTCAACACACAAGTCAAAAGAAAGAGGAAAAATTAAAATGAAACCTTCCTCTAGTACTCATTCCTAGTATGCTGTACTTTAGGAAACAGGCAACTCCAGACCAGAATACTGGTTATAAGTACTGCAATATCATCAAATCTGAACTCCGAAAGAGTAGTTTTAATGAACATAAAGTTAAACGTCTGAATATCTCACCTTTAAACATCTGATAATCAGTGTCTCAACTGGTTCCCTACTGTACTCATTATACTCAACAACCCCGTACTTCCCCAGAGGTTTCCAAAGGGTACTTTCTCTGTCTTAGCTTAGAAGTTTATCCTAAAATAAGATGAATCACCAATTTGAGATCCTTTTCTTTCTTCACCGAGTAAAAGAAGCGTGATCACATCTAATCATCCAACCCAGAGTAGATCTTAAAGAAACTAAGCCTGCTTATTTCAAAATATTTTATGACCCTTAACACTTAACTACGTCTCCAATTCCAGAATCTGGACACTGCTTTCACAAATGTCTAAAGAAAGCTAATTTTTTTAGATAAGGAAGCATTTTCCATGTTTCACATATGAAAATACACAGATACGCACATAGGCTTACTTCCCAATATCACAAGGAAAGCTTACAGTGGATCAAGGAGCATGGTAATTTGATATATAAACTAGAATCTTGGTATCCAGATAATTTTACCTATTTATTTATTTATTTGTTTTAATCTAATAAAAGAACAGTAAATTCTGGTTTCTTTGGATATTTTATGCTCTGATAAATGAAAATCAGCACTAACATTAAGGTGCTATTAAAACAATCTGCTTCTTCACTTTTTTTATGTTTCTTATTTTAATCAACAAAAGGATGGGCATGTCTTCATGATCTTTTTATCTCAAAGATAAGCTAGAATTTTTATACAGAGAACCCCTGTTACGATTTGGATTATTTACTCACTGAGCTTTTGGTATATAGCTTTGCAAGGAAATTAAGATGTTATACTGCTGTCAGCTACATGCAAATCTCTAATGGATACAGGGTATTTGTAAGGAGCTAAATGAATATTAATGATGAAAAATTGCACTGTTTAGCTAAATACATAACTACAAGCATGAGCCACAGACCTACATCAGTTGTTTAAATTTTTTGCCAGTGCTTTCATTAGTGTGTATTTACACAAAAACTGAATTTTGCTGGCCAGACAGGTCCCAAATGGAGAATAGGTAGCAAAATAATATAATAATATTTATAATATTTATAAATTATATAAATTATAATAATAATATTTAACAGATAATTTAGCCAATATAATCTTGTTAATACTCTTAACTGCATGAAAAGCCCATTCCTCCCAGTGTGGGAAGCAAGCCAGAGCTTACATTTACCTGCAATAATAGCACTGGATAGTGTTTTCCCATGAAGAAATTGCATTTCTGGTGCTCAAAAAGCTCAGAAAGTCAATATGAGACAAAAAGCACATGCAGCTTCATACATGTTAAGTGCAACCTTACTGCTGTATTCTGCTTTGTGTTAATTTTTCCATGCAGTAAGTAGGTAAAAGAACTGGTGGCAGAAGCTGAAGTCAAAGCTATGCAGGACTGGGCATAAAAAGGAGCTATTCTAATGCAGTGATTTTGCAGAGTATCATTTGTGAGAACAGCAAACTCTGTATGTAGATGCAAGCAGAAATAAGACAAATGAGGCAGAAAGAAAACAGACCATAGGACTGAGCACTGCCAGGAATATCCTGAGAAAAGTTTAGGAGCTAATTTTTGGCTGAGGCTTAGGTTTTGGAATGACAAGCAAAAAAAATTTCTTCTGTTCCTTCATTTTTAATGGAAACAGGGAAAAAATACCTAGTTTTTAATAATTAAGACTGTTTTAGATGTCACTAAATCAAGAACATTACAAAACCTCATAAAAAGAGAAATTGAACAAAATTTTATAATACAAAGAGAGTGTAACTTGAATATAATTCACTGTATTAGACTGTAAGTGTGTGTAAGTGAAGGCTTCTAAATGTGTGGGACATTCAGGATACATTCAGTTGCATCCTTTATCCTCCTTATTGTGTCAAGAGAGGAGAGGCAGGGAGGAGAGTAGAGGGAGGAGAGAGAGAAATGGAAAGAAGGAGGAAGGGAGTATGTAGAGCAGAGAGAGAAACAGAGAGATAGTATTTTCTACATTAATCTCCTCCAGTTGGAAGCCTTCCTACTCTTCAAGGTGGAGAAGGCCTAAGGCCTAAATAGTCTTATTATATGTGTAGTATAATGCAGGTATTACATTCAAATTATATTTCTTAGTACCAGGTGAAATCTTCTTACCTTGAAGCAAGTCGAATGACAGCAAATTTGCAAGGCATCTAAGATCATTTTGGCATCTATGCCCAAGGGCTTCCTGCAGTATGTACATATATCTTTTCCAATTATACTCCTGTGTATATAATATAACATCAGCTGTCAGAAGAAGAGCTGCCATTGAAATCTCAAGCAGAAAATTGATAAGCTTAGTACACTGCGTGGGAAAGACATTTTTATACTGTACAGTGACCATAAATGGAAAAATGTCATGTGTGTATTCCCTCCATTCTAGCTGACAAGTGTAATATACATGCTCCTGTGATGGGTAAATTGCTGAATGTAATTGTCAAATAGCAAAAATACCTTCATAGAAAGAATGGTCTTCTCTGGTGAACTGAATTAAGCTGCTGAATGTCTGGGAGCATGTATAGTAAATAGGGATGGAGTGGAGGACAAGAATTTTAACATTTTAATCACAAAAGTAAATTGGTAGTTGAATTGAAACTGCCATAATTTGATCAGTCTGGTATAGAATACTCTGTGTTGCTGAAATGGCTGAAAACTTTTTTGATTTTCTGTACATCAGACAGAATTTATACCTTCATGGCAGTTATAGTGAACACGCATATAGAACAGCCTATCTGCTATTTATGACAATAGTACTTTTAAAAATTTTCTCAGCTCTTGTTGCATTCTTACGTGACACGTATGTAATTTAAATACATATGTATTTAAATATAATTGTCTTTGGGTTTGCATTACAAAATCAACTGGTATTGCTCCTTTCCACTCAATGACAAACCATCGTACTAATATTTAATCATTCCCAGAGTTCCTTATACTTATGTTGGAAAGGATACCAAGTCCTTCTGATTTGGTAATTCCAAGTAATGGGACTGTTCAAATTATCCTTTAACTATTTTTTCTCTGTAAGGTGAGATAGTTACTGATGGAGCAAATATGCTTTGTATGTTTGGGAATATCTCAATTATTGTGAAAACATTGTTTTTAACAGCCTTGTCATGTGTACTGATTCCTCCACATCTGGTCATAAAGTTGGTCATTACAGAAATCACTCTCACAAAGGAAGGACATTTTGCAGAGTAAGCAGCTGCCTGAGATAGAAACTAGAGACTCACAAAGCCAACTCTATCACTTAAAGCACTGGCTATTGTTTCTATAGATATTTTAAAATGTCAGCTGTGACAAGCCTGACATATAATATTAGGCTGCTGAACTGTGGTAATGATTTGATGGCAAGATCCCACTGAAAGAGAGCTCTGTATGAAAAGCTGTCTGACGAGCCTAATGGTGACTTCCACTGCTCTCTTTTGTCTGAACACTTGAATGCTTATGCAAATGTCTGTATCCTTTGGTACTCTATGATGTTATTAATGTGTACGTACCGATCAGAAGTGGAGTAAACAGTTTTAATAGTATTTCCAGTTATATTTTCTTCATAGGCACCATATGATGATTTGCTGTGAAGCAGAGAGTGCATAGCAATCACTAAACTCTGATGATAATATGCAAATTAAACTAAAGTAACATGCTTGTGAAAAAAAACCCATCATAGTTGGTGATGAGTTCTTTTCTGTACCTTCACAACCATAAAGAATAATAATATCAAATTAAAAAAACCCTAAATTAGAAATATAGTGTCCTTAGACTGTGTTTTATTGTTGAATAATTTTTTCAGCATTTCAAAATTAAATCCACACAAGCCCATTGAGCAAAATTCTATGAATGTTATTGGGTTTGCCTGTGCTGATATCCCAGACTGAATTATACATGTCAGGAAATGGTGACAGACTGCATTTTTTTCTTTTCCTCTGCTTCTTTTGCTTGTCCTCAAAGAGCTTTCAAACAGCCAAACAAAATTACAACACGCTCCTTGAATTAGAGTGAACGTCTTAATAATACAGGCTGTTCAATGTGTGATTTGTGATCACTACAGTAACTGTATTGTTCCTTGTATCAGAGTAAAAGGAATTAAAAAGTAAAAAGGAATAAACTGAACTTAACTGTCAGGGAAGTTAAATCTTCCTTTTTTGACAGTCCCATTTCTAAGTTGTTTAAGTTTCAGTTTTGTTTGCACAGAAGGGATGAACATGTATGTGACAGCTGAAGAAGTCCTCTTGCCATACATGTTTTGAACATTTCTGGACTGATTTAATTATCCTATTCACCAGAAATTCATAAGGCATATGGTGATTATTACATGTTCCATTTCACTCTTGAATAATGTTTAGCAATGTTACGAACAATTGTTTATAATCATGTGTCTTTGCAGAATATGTTTTTTTTCAGGTAAAGTATAACAGACTGATAATATGTGTGTGAAAGGTGTTAAGCCCAGATACTCTTTTTTACATAGTTTCATTTTTTAATGTAAATATTTCTTATTTGATTTCTATGGTAAACCAGAAATGTATTAAAATTGCAGTTACTGATAAGCTTAAATGATAAAGGTTTTATGTACATTTCATAGAACATAAAAATGTTGAAAAACACAAAAATGTATATAACCACAACTTAGGAGAAAAATATAACTGTACTACTGTATAGAAAAAAATAATGAAGCTAAAGCAAAAATATTTCCAAAGAATCAGTTTCTAACCTTGTCAACTGAAAGTGTGAGGAAACTCAGAACCTTTTAAAATAAATGCATAGTCTGAGAGCTTGACAAGAGACTGAGTCACAATGTAGCCTGAGAGCTGTGTATCTGATCACGTACCCTCTTTCAGCTCATATCACTCACTCCTTTGCTTGCTGTGGTGTGACTTGTTTACACAGCAAACTACTCAGCCATAAATACTCTGTAGAATCTATTGCATAAAACCTGAAATAACCTACAAAGACCAATCATTTAATAAGATTTCATTAATTAAATTAGGATTAGAGGTTCAGGTAGAGGGTAAAAATTTTGTCAAGTGTAAGGTAACATTGCATATTGCAGCACATTCTTTGACCTGCCACTCTTGTATTATTGTCTCTATTTTAACTTTCAAAGATAATCAGAATATAACAAATCAGAATCTGTATGTGTGCAAAATGCCACAAAATGCTAATTGAATTTTTTGTTGAATAGTCATTTTAGTCTTAAATTGTATGCTGTTTTACTTTGCCTTTATTCTCAGCCAGTTTATGGGCTTGTCCTTTGAGGCCATGCAGAAGTTTCAGAATACATAAATTTCAACTGTACTCTAACCTCCTAGAATAAGAAAATGAGGGATTAGAGATCCTGCACCCATTCCTACCCACACCAAGGCTCAGGTGTGCATAAGGTTAAGGATGGGGACATTGGCCATAGTTCCCATAAAGTACCACACTGTGACTGCTATTTTCCCTGTCATTGAGGCTCCATAGAAGATTACTCCTTTCCCTGAAAAGTCGTCAGCCTTGACTCAAGCAGTTCAAAACTACTATACAGCAATGCAACACCTTACATATAGGGTTATATCTTTAAACAATCCCACCCACATTAATATTTAATTAATCCATATAGATGGATGGATTGGTACTGAGGAGAGGTTTCTTCCTAATCCAAAAAGGTCTTTCCTTCCGGAATTATATATTACATTTTTGTTGTCATATTTCTTGAAAATACATTTTAACCATGAAGAACAAGATATAATTTCCTTTGTTTAAATTATTTCCTGTTACCAGCAGACCTGGTGTATAGCTAGTTCTCTTAAATATCGCTACATCATATTTTTCACTCAGATTTGCAATGTGTGTGCTTGCAGAAGCAGAATCCAGCTAGAGCAAGAACATTGCAAGATAAATGGTTTTAAAGATAGCTAGTTCCTGGTCAAAAAGTCAGAAACCCTTGTCACAGTTTCCATGATTAGATTTGTGACACATGGGTTCAGATTCATCCCATATAGTTTTAGGAACTTAATAAGGCACTTGAGTGAAGAGTGTAATATTTTCCTTACACCCTCACAAAGAAGTAAGTTCGTAAGAAATAGGAGCACTGTGTATCTAACACACAGGAAATGCCTTTCCTCTGTTGATTATACAAGAATTCTGGCTTAGCTGCTCTCCTCAATTTCGTGTTTCAGCCACATGTCTAGAGCTACACAGGGTATGTCTTGTGCTCCCCACTCTGTGCACCAGAGCTATGATTTGTGGGCTTCTAAGCCTGGGATCCTGGAAGTAGATTTGGAAGAGGGCTGGCATGATTCCAAAGACCAATGTGAGTTTCTAAGCATGCCTGAAATTTCATGCAGAAAAAATGTTTTTTCTTAATTTTCTGCAAGAAATGTCACTTTAGATGCTATGATGCTCAATTCATTGTCCACAGTACCTGGTCTTTCTTTCACTGTCACTGGAGTAGTTTGTTTCTGGGAGATTATTCGGAGCCCTTGGAGGATTCTCATATGATTTCTCAGTTATCCTAAAAAAAAAAAAGGAAAGACTTTTTAGACTTTTTTCATCTACACAGCTTTTAATTTATACTTAGAGCCATAAATGCAGAAGCTTGGGCTTGAAAAAGTAGTTAAAGAAATGTATCTTTTTCTTACTGTTGTTAAACTGTTGCTGGTGAAAAATAATGCAATCATTGACCTATAATTTTAAGTCCTCCAGTTTATGCTGATATATTCAGATATATTCATATCAGAAACTTCATCTAACTTTATTGAACTCTAGTTTCCTTGAAGTGCTCACTGAGGTTTTCAGCTGTGCAATAATGTCTCAGTGGTTGATAGCACTCCACATTTTCTTGTCAGTATTTTATAATGTATTCTTTGGCTTACTGCATTTCAGTCCCAAATTTTCTTTTTTTTTTTTTTTTTTAATATACTACAGTTATGTTTTTCTTAGAAATTACTAGCTTAACAGACACGTAGACTCATTTCAAAAAGCAGGATTATTATTCAAGCAAAAAAAACCTTGTCTCTGCAGTTTTCGCTACCACAGACATGACAGTCAAACAAACACAAAATAAACCTTGTCATACAAATTATAAGATTTAAGAAATAAGTGCTATAATGTTTTTGATGATTTTACAAAGTAGCTCAGACAAAGGCTGCTGTTGTTTGGTTCTGCCAAAGGTTCTGAAACAACATGATGATTTCAAACCTTAACTCTGGATGTTTGGGCTGCAGCTTGATTTATTTCAGTGAGCTTGCCAAGGACCAAAGCTCTGCCGAACAACCCTCACTTAGTGCTGTCATGTTTTATATGCATAGCATGCAGCATGAAGCAGCACCCTCTATTGTGACTTCTAACCGGGCATGCCCCCTTTCAGAACTAAAAGAGAAATTAATTTGCCGTAGATACTTAGTATATACTTCTCTGGTCAGACTGTCAAAAAGATACCATCAGAATAGTAGCTGAAAACATAATACTAACTTCACTTTAATTGACCAAAATGGATCCTAGCTTCTGAAAATAATGAAACCTAGTAGCAGCAAAACTTTGTACTAGGAATGCATTTACTTATATTTGAGATGCTAGCAGCTGAGTTCACAAAACACCTAGATAAGCACAAAAATACTTATGAGGATCTTGTCACCAGTCATTTTCATTCTTAACAAGAGATTATATGTTTGAGTTGTTGCTTACTACCAAAATACGTGCAGCTTTATTGTTATTCATTCACATTTTAGAAATAATACAGATATCTTACTTATGTTGGGAAAATTTTGCTTTCTTATATTAAGAGTTCAAATTTCTGGTACCACACTAAACAGCTACAACTGATGATATTAGCTCTTCAAATTTTAGAGAAAACTACCAGTTGAGTCTCACCGCTTTTTACTTTGGTCATCAGCAGACTTTACTTCAGTGTTATCACCAAGGTCCTCATCTCTGAAAGTGAGAGAGACCTCAGAATTAATAGAAATATTTTATTTAAGCTAAACATATTAAACGGGCTGAACTATTTATGTTGAAGAAGAAAAAAATTGTATGCATTTCACAGGGAATATTCCTGAATAAATTGACTAGTTATCTGTTCAGGCTTCAGTATTTTTCAGTTTCTTTCTAGTGTGATGACACAAAAGAATAACAAACAGCTCAAAACCAGCAAGTTCATTATAGTTTTGTAGCATAATTCAGGCTGGAATTTAGGGACCTCAGGGGCTCTTGAGTCCAACCTTCTGCTTAAAGCAGGGATGGCTCTGAGGTCAGACCAGGTTGCTCAAGTCTTTGTCAATTAGGTCTTGAAAACCTCCAAGGAGAGAGATGGCATAACCTCTCCAGGCTGCCTGCTCCCCTGCTGGACAGTTCTCCATATACCCAGTCAGAATCTCTCATTTCATTTTATGACCACTATGTCATGTTGCCTTCCCATGCTATGGGTGAAGGTCCTGCCAACATCTGCTAAACTGACTGTGGCTCTATCATTTTAACTTGATAACAGAATTTCATTCGGTACAGGCATCAATACCATGAGCTATGGAAATGGCTTCCAAAATATGTTACTTGCTTTATTTTTATATGCAGACCAAATTCCTCTTGCAACTGCTGTTATCTAGGATTTTATACAATCTCTAGGTCTATATTGCACCACATTTATACTAGTAACTCATCAATCACTTACTTGTGAAAAATCAGTTTCATATAATAAATTTCATTATCCTGTGTCATGTATATAATAATTTTACAATCATATTGTATATTAAATGCCCTGTAATTAAACAAAAATGTTGCCCATTGACAAATCATTTCAGATTAAAAATGGTCACTCAGGTTCCCATTTGAACACAAATAAAAATGTAGTGACTTTTACAGAACAGTAGCTATTAATGCTAATATCCAATCAACCATCAACATTTTATGAGTTTATAAATGACAAACTCACCTCTTGTTTTTCTGATCAGCAGTATTTATTTCAGTAAGATCCTGAAGGTGTTTTTGTCTGAAACAACAAACAAATACAACTGTTAAAATATTCCCCCTATCTAGGAAGGAATAAAGTGTCATAAAAGAAAGAAATATATTTATGCACACATTTAAAAGGAAAAAAGTAAATTGTTAGTTACATTTGTGTTCAAAATTTTCAAACACTTATGTACTTGAACATAATAAGAAAATATGTTTACAATTTTCCCCTAGCAAGGTAAAGTTATAATTAAATAAAAAATATTATCTGTTATATCCAAGAAGATAAAAAAGACTTTAGTCAGATCAGTGCCATAGTTTAAGACTGTGTTTTGCCAGTGAAGACAGTGAAGGAGAAATATGAACTTTCAAAGAATTTAGAATTAATTTACAGGCTCCAAGCAGCATAACCTGTGTTTGCATCATTACTTTTCAAAAATAATTTTTATTTAAAATAAGAAACTCCTGAAGACAGCTTGTAGAAATATAGCCAAATTTCCACATACTGTCCTTCTGGAATGATGAGAAATTTCCTCCGTTTATGATCATGGTGATCAATTAAAGCATTGATTATGTCCATATTTATACTGAAAATGTAAGCATCCAAAGACTCACATAGTTTACATATAAGGAAACTTTTTTTAAAATTTCATAAATACAATTAAATTAGAGACAAGTTTTTCCTCTATATTCTTTACTATTTTAAAATGGTTCCATGAATTAGAGGATTGAATGACCTATGAAAAGCACTCTTAACTACTGTAAAAAACCCTGTGATTCTCTTTAGGTAAATAGGAAGCAAAACAAAAGGCCCAGTTAGCTCTATGAAACTCATAGCTTGGTCACTTCAATCCATGATAGGCTTATTAATCTTAAAACTTTGGATCCTCCAAAAATTCAGTAGTGTCTCAAAGCCCTGTACTCTATCCTATTAAATTATCTGTGAATTAAAATTTCCAAAAGAAATGATACTCAACTTACAGGTTAGTGCTAAGTGTACATATATATATGCATGTGTGTGCATATATGTAAGATTGTCTTATGTAAAATAGATGATCATAGGTAGGCAACATTTGTGTGCTATTACTGTTTAGAACATCCGTCTTGAAATTTTCTGCAGAATGTCAGTGTTAGGTGTGACAAATATTACACAGTTCTTACTAGCACAGTACCCTGCCAGTTCCTCCCCTTCCATGTGCTGAAGGGATGCTTGCAGATGTCAAGAAACAGATTGAACTGATGCATTGTTCAAAAAAGTAAGTTCAAGATGCTCTCTGTGTATCACTGCCCTTGCTGACTGAAATGCTTTGTTACACCTGGTTGGGGCAACCCTTATCATCCGTGAGTTCTATGGTATTTTGTTTACTGCCCCTTCTCTAACTGTATCACAGTACTTCATTAACAGTTTAATTGCAGAAGCATATAAGGCATGTATGGAAGCTTGCCATAGATAGTACTTGTTCAGCTGATAGTGCACATGCCACTGAATTAATCTGTATTTTTATATATTCATCATTCTGTATAAGAAATGCTACTTATTAAATCTATAAAATATTTTCCAGGTTTGCAACGTTACCTTTCCTGACATTTTCATAGTTGCAAATTACTCACTGCTTTAGGAAAGTAGGGCCTGAGAAACTTTGAAGACTTACTCCTTGTCACTTGTGGAAGAACTTGGATTCACTTTGCTGAGGTTGTCGAGGTCTTGGTTCCTTTAGAGACAGAACAAAACCCAGATTGTATCACAACCAGTATAACAAGATGTCAAGTAGTCAAACTAAATAATAATTTTAAAAAATTATAATTGACACATCCTTTATGAAAGAAAAAATTAACTGATTAAAAGTCCAAAGCATACATCATTTTAGTAATTCATTGATACAGCCATATGTCCACCATATGCACATAAGCCCACACTCTTCCTGAGGCAGTCGAAAAGTCCACTTGTCTGTTTGGTAGGCTATCTAGACCAGCTCCTTCCCAAGAAAACTTTCACTTTTCACAAGAAATTTCATGATTAAAGTGAGGGATGGTGAGATCTAGTTGCATCCACTAATTCTTGAACTTCCACACAAGAGATAGGATGAGGTTTATTATAATTATTATTATTATTGTCTGTTGTCAGGGGGAAAAAATTGTTCCTTAAATTAGATCTTGTTAGTTAAATAATTTCCTTTTTCAATATAGTAACATTAAAGATACAATATATATTAATGCAACATATCTATTAGAAATGGAAATTAACATATTTTATACTCATTGAATGTAACTTTTTGTAGTGTCAAGTCAAAACATGGAGTGTTGTTTTGACTACCTTTATTTCCCTTTGAAGGATTATGCTGGTGTTAATAATTCCATAGAACACTTCATTTCCATGAAAACGCATTTTCAAAATGCAAACTCCTCTACTGAAAATTTTTCAGCATCTTTACCCAAAAAGTTATTATCCAGTTACCTTAGCTCCCTACAAAAACCTAATACATTTACTCCTCAAAAGAAAGCAATGGGAAAAGAAGGATGCCTTTGATGATGTGACAGTGCCACCTGTTCTATAGCCTGGCAGTCAACAATGTTCCATATGTCTCTTCACTGACCTGTTCTGTCATGAAACAATAGCCCTTTCAGGTTCTTCTTGGTCACGTTTGTCAGCTTTGGGCTTCCCTTTGATGAGATTATCAAGATCTCCATTTGTTTAGGAATGAAAGAATAGTTCAGTGCAAGAAGACTCTACTGGCATTAACTACAGTTCCAAACCAGTCCTTAATAAATTATATACTTTTGGAAATTCTCTTTATATTATCACAGATTTCACAGTTTCGGAGTATTTCTTCAGAAACTGTAGCCTTGCAGTTGTCCAAAACTATCCTTTCCTGGATGGCAAATTGCTTTCTTGGTAGGTGGAAGTAGCAATACTAAAATTATAGCAAGTGTAAATAAGGGCTTAGGTAGTTCCTTTAACTTTAATTTTGCAAATTTTATTTAAAAACAAACAAAACCACCAAAAAACCCAGCTGTGCATGTTTCTGGCGTGAGTAATATGTGCATTAGAATTCTTGTTTCTTGCATCCTCCATTCCTTTATGTTCTTAGAGGTACTTTAAGTATGCATCTGAAGTCTTCAATGAAGCCTACCAAAGCTTTGCAATTGCAGATGCCTCAGTTATGACCTTTCTTTGCTATGCAACCTGTGCATATATATTGGCCTCAGTGTTGTATATTCACCCAAAACATAGAGAGCAGATTTGGGACTCCTGTTCATTCTGGTTGAAGTCATGGGATTACATGCAGTTTACTCAGCACGGTTATCAGTATCCTTTGTGCTTACTTCTGCTAACTTTCACAGCATGGAGCAATAGAAAAGCTGTGACAGTAGCAAAGCTGTGCCCTGCAGGCCACTCTGTCTGTATGCTCCTGTCTGACTTTCAAAGGCATATAAGCATTTGGAGAACCAAATTCCAATGTGTTTTTAATGAGAGTTAACTCAATAAAACAGATATGTTTGAAATTTTTACTCAGCCTGTAGATATAAAAGTATTCTATTAGCTTTTATACAAATTTAAATTTCATATATTTTATTAATTCCTGGGTGTTCTTCTTTTAGAATTAGATAAATTAATTGAAGAAATCTTCCTATAAAAGTAGCCCAATACAATGCAGATAAAATATGCTTCTACAACAAGGCCCAAATTCTGGAACTTTCTGTGTTAATCTTTGAAAGAAATATTAAAATATCTTAGTGTTTTTGTACTAAATACAACATAATTGAATGAATAATTCTATAGAAATTTATTTTAGAACATTGGGAAATTATATCACTTATATACTTGTTCTTGTAGGTAACAGTTTTCTGTCAAAAGGGAAGGAAGGAACTCCCTTAAGATCAGCAGAAATTATTCTGGCTCTAAAACATGTTCTTATTAAGTTTTCACATGTATTTTAACACTCTTCCCACATAACTTCAGACTTACTTTCCCCTAAATTGGTCTGTTCAGTTTGCACAGAGTTTCCAAGAAAAAGAGTGAGAAGATATCTAAAACAGTTCAGCCTTGACCTATTGCCTATTTGGAAATAATGGGGGGAAAGAATGCAAACTTCCAGTAATTTAAGACTTATTCCTTCAGAAATGAGTATACCAGCCCATATTAATCCTTGGTGCAACTCAAAGGATAGAAGAGTTAGTTCCCTTCTGTAGTCTTTAAGTCAAAATAACTTTGCAGCCGACAGCATGTTTTTACTTCCTCACACATTATTTTCTGTGCTTTGGGTATCCCAATACACTGACTGGCTTGCTGTCCAAAGGGACAGTGACAAAAGGAATAAAAGTCTAGGCTACATATGCACTGCTGGTCAACTGCAGCCTGATTCATAGAACACTTAACTCTAAAGACTCTTAATAAGTTAACAAAACCAGTTGCAGCTGCAGGTTACAGCACAGAAATAAATACAGACTGACCTGTTCACTACACTATGGTTCCTATGGAACAAAATGTCTGTAAAACAGAACCCTTAGAAGATATTAATTTACTGCACTGGTAACACTTCTCAAACTTTCAGCCTCATGAAACATCTTGACATGACTGCAACAAGTAATCAGGACTGACATCTTTCAAGTAGCTTGCCTTGAGGTGGCTGGCTGGTACAAAGAAGAGGTCACAGGATACGCAGCTTCCAAGTTACTGGTTCAAGCATAGTTCAGGCTATTATCAACTGAAGTTAAAGTTTGAGAGCTGTTATTTGTAAAAGGATAAAATGCAAATTAGGGCAAGCTACAGGACATGGTACGTCTCAGAATTTATCTGATTATGTTCAGGGCATACTTTTGCTGACTTTTTAAATCTCTCTTTGTTAGCAAAGCTACATTTACTTTAGCATTAGCACACAGTGACCACCAGTGTTGATATCAGCACATAATCCAGCCTCACATTAAAAACTAGAGGAGTGTGCATTATAGAGCCTAAACAGAATTTCAGTTTAGGTTTCTTTTGAGAATTGTTACCTTGTTAAAAATCAGCAATACAATTTATCCCATTTTTAATACTTCTAAAAGAGATGACAGGCATTACTGTGGGAAAGAGACTAACCTATATTCATATATTAAAAAGGCTCCTTGTGTATCAGAATATTAGTTGCAGTGCAAGGCTGCTGAGGAGAAGGATTTCCAGTTGCAAGTGTAACTGTCACTTGAAAAAACTGAGTAGAAGGATGAAATGAATTGAATTCCTACTGCTTACATTTGTTGACAATTTTTTAAAATATAGATGATGATGGAAAACAGCAGCATAAAACTTCTATACAAAGCAGTTGAGACAAACTTGAGGAAATATCTTTCAAATATGGTAGGTGGCTTGTAATAGATGATGACATTTTTCATAGGTCATTCCAAAGGATGCCACCTCAAAGCATAGTATCTTTTGAGACAACCATTACATCCCTGTGAACATTCTGCCTGGGGTGAGTATTTTTGAAATGGATCAGAATGAGGTGGGTCAGATGGCCTTCCAGGAGGAGAATATATAGTTTACTCACAAATTCAATAAGATTAAATATTTTAATAAAGACTCAGGACATGACTAGAAGTTTTTAGGGGCACCTAACTCAGGGCAACTAATATGAATTCTTTTATGCTGCAAAAAAATTCTTGTAACAGCAGTAGAGAGGAATTTATATCACATTTTGTACAAAAAGATCTCAAGTATTGAAACAATGAATTAATTTATTCTGAAATAAAAATATTAAGACTTGCATTAAGACCTCAATGTGCTTGTCAGCATTGCTGAAGTACGGAAGACAATTCTATTGATTCAGTTACTTTTCTGTTTGCAAGTGAGCACCTCCAGAAAAAACTTAGTTCTGCCTTTAACATCCAAAAGAAAGCCCTACTCTGAAGGACAGAAAAACCTATGTGCAACTGGGCCACTGTGGGCCTCATGCTGGAAACTTGGTAACCATGAATTTTGCTGCTGCTATCTGTTATTTTGCCTCTAGGTGCTTGTGTAAAATAGGATTAGAAATTTGACAATTAATGAAGAGAGTCCAGTTGAATAAAAGGCTAGCAAAGAACATAAATAAAAATAAGTATAAAAAAAAAGGTGTCAAAACAGGCTGCACATAAAATTTATGGCTTAGTTTAACCAGGGACTCTTATTCTGCCATATCTTTACCCCTATGCCTCTCAGACACAAACAGAAAGGGAAATTACATAATTCTTGTGTGACAAGCTCTACAGAAATCAGCTATATTTCAAAAGCTTAATACCTCTGACCCACATCAATATCAGCAAATGTTTCCTCGTTTAAAGTACAGTTGTCCTTTGCATTACCTCATTCCATTAATGTTAGGTATCTGATGTCTTCTTTGATTCAATGTACAAAGGATCTATGAACATTTTCATTAAGTAATTTTTAAAAGTGTAAAAATTAATGTATTATGTAGCCACAAAGTATGATTTTTTTCCCCTTTTATGTTTTGTATGAAAAAGTTAGAGAAATTGAGTTGTCTACATTTTGCTTTTATTTTCAGTCTGCATTTGATTTCTAGCTCAGTTCACTTGAGATAAAGATCTGATACTTTTCAGTCCTTCTGCTCTGTGACCTGTGCTTGTGAATCTCACTTATTTTCAGTGGATCATAGTTCAGAAACTCTGGTTTAGCTGGTGACAAGTCAGATCACCATCAAAAAGAAAACCACAAGTGAATCCCATCCACACATTCAAG